CATCTATATATACGCCTGTTGCAAGCGACAGATTGAAGATGAATGTCAACGAGGGTGCAATTATGTTTGCAGATAATTTTAGAATTTTAGCAGGAATTTTATCAAGACCTGTTGCTTTACATGCTTTTAGGCCTCTTAGGGTCGAGGCAACACTATCAACGGATATTGGAGATACTTTAAAAAAGTATCTAAGGATTGATTAATATTATAGTTTATGGGCTGATTATCAACATTACTACAGGACTCGTCTACATATTCTGCTGCTAGCCTCGACCCAATACTAATGAAATAGTCATTAAATATAATGCATCTGCAATAGATTTAGGATCCGAAACTAACGTGCTGTCAACCAGCAACTCATTCACATTGTTGGATTTGTTATTCTTTCCCAATAATGAATTAATTAATTTCCAAGTCTTTTTAGGGTCATTCATTACAGAGCAATCAGTAATTTTATCATGAAAATATTTTGATTTTACATTTCGCATTTCAACATCATCCAATAAGAAGCGCGTATTTGAGAGTTAATCACTATTTAACTACAAACATCGTAAAAGGCTCTTGTGTCGATAAATCTCTTACCATATCTAAATGTAATGCTCTACTTACACAACACGAAAATAACGCGATATAAACTTTATCGTTGATGGCGTTCTTAACGTACAATGGACCGGCAAAATCGACCCCTGTTTTCGCGACAGGTTCAGTTTCCCTTACTTTAAATCTGGGAAGATCAGCAGTTCTTTCGGTGCATTGTAGTGTTTTCCTTCCAATCTCTTACAAATGGTGCATTTGTTTAATTAATATACCCTTAACCCTTTGCCTACCCTTTGGGATCCAAAAACGCGATCTTACCTCTGATAACGTTGCTCTAACCCCACTATGATGTACCTTATTATGACAATGGACAATTATCAATTCAGTTAACGTACCTTCCTTTGGCAACAAGATTGGGTATTTTGCATCTACATGTAGATCTGACTGTGTGAATCTTCCTCTACATCTTAAGATTCTATCTTCTTCAACTAACTTCAGCTGGCTTTCTAATTGCTATCCAAAGCTTTTCTGCTCTGAGTAGCTCCTCTCGTTCTAATTTACCTGATGTTGGGGCGCTCTCATTCCCCTTAACCTTTGAAATCAATATTTGGACATATCGAGTAACTCAGGCTGTTACTCGAAACAATCTTTCTGCAGAACTAAACTTTTCAATAAACATAAAACTGTTTAAAAACAGTTTTATGGAGTTTGCTATTAAATCTAATCTAAAGGACATTATTCTGCTTGGTGATTTTAACTTTCCAACTCTCCAGTGGATAAATGGTTCAGGATTTCCTGTTACGTTGTGTGAGACCAGTTTTACTGATTCACTGCAAGATCATGGTTTTTTACAACTTGTAACTTCACCAACTCGTGGCTCAAACATTCTCGATCTGGTCCTGACAACCAATGAGTATCTTGTGGAAAACATCGAGACCACGGATGATAAAGCCGTTTCCCTGATCACAAATCGACTATGTTTCATGTTTTACTCAATCACAAGCCAAAATTCGCAGCGAAGAGAAATTAAATGTACAACTACAACAAGGGTGATTTTGTAGCTCTCCGTGAATCTTTGAAACTCTTGCCTTTGACTGATAGTTCTCAGTGAGAATGATATATTGAAATAACATCGCATGGTCCAAATGGAAGGATCCTTTCCTTGCTGCTATTGATACATATACTGTATTCCGAGCAGGCAAACTTCACGAACCTACACACCCCCTTATTTTACAAAAGAAATTATCCACATACTCCATCAGAAAGAATCTTTAAGAAAACGAGCAAGAAAGTCTAATTCGGCATTGCTATGGGAAAAATTTCGTGAACTACGTAGGTCAGCTGAACGCATGATCAAAACCAAAAAGCGTGATTATATATAGCCTGCGTAGCAGCAAAGATTAAGTATATAAAGATGGCCGACTCGCGGAAAATTCCTTTGTTCTCGGTGTCCCCCGTTTCGAAAGCACACGCAGTTTTCACGCGTTTCGTCTGGTAAGCGCCGAACCAAATTTTTGTATTGAAGTTAATGGCGAAATGCCGAATTTTCGCAATAAAACAGCGATTTTAAAAACATCTACCGTCCGATCTTTATTTTGAGGACAAAATTTGAAAGAACATGTCAAGCTGCGAGTAGATTATTACACGAATATGTTTGAAACGAACGAAAATTTGGATAAACGACCTCCGAAGGAGTGAGATCTTATACTGTCAATAAGTCAGGTGAGATTCTTTTCATTTCTTGATCATTTTTCGATAGTGTTTTGTGAAATTTCGTACCTTAGACAACAGATGGATATAGGACTATTGCTAACTGACACTAAAAATATGTTTGGGATGCGTACAACCAGAGTTTTTATTTACTGTACAGATTACATACAATATACTAATACAAACAATATTCAAATATATAGAAATATTATTTTGTTAGGCTAGTACCAAAATGCACTCAAGCTGCCAAGAAATAGCAATTATTTTTGTTACCAAAGAAAATGGTATCAAAGCATATCCCTCATTATATTAAAATGCTACTGGATAACTGATCCCATAACAGTAATTAAATATTATTGTAATTATTAAACATTTTGTTTGTATATGTGAGTTATTGCTTGTTTAGACTATTGCACATGGTGAGTTATTGCTTATTTGGACTATTGCACTCAGTAAAATTAGCTTTGAAACAGTGCCTAATAGATCCTAATACACTTGTCATCGGAAACACACACCCCTCCACCCCAGGGGGAACATGGGCATAAATAGACTTTTTTAGAAACTAATGAAAGAAAAAGCCCCACACATAGGGGCAAGCAAAACAGGCCAAAGCCACTTCTAGAATAACACATTCAGTAAAAGTTTCAAACATGGAATATTTAAAGTAGAATGATGTATAACTTTAATTTAAACATAGAACACTAACAATATGGCTTCTTGTGCAAAAACACCAGTCGTCCATTCGACAAAAGGCTACCCATAGGATTATGGGTAGCCCACATGTAATCATGCCTAATCTTGCCCCCAAACTACACCTCTCACCCACTACCCACCCATGTTTCCCCGGGGGGGGCTCCGATGACAAGTGCATAATACATATAGCAGATTTACGACAGACAAGGTGTTTGCTACAAAGACAATTTCTTGAGTTTAAGAGTCCAAATAAGTAATAACACAACATGCACATAATTCAAAGTTTAAGGTTTTGAAAGGAAATTAAATTACTGGCATGTATTTTCATCATATTTTTTGTCTTTTGTGAATATTTAATGGTTTGGTTTAAAAACATAGTAAAATTTGTGTACAGTAGTGAATGATCAATACTAAAATACACAAATTTAGTTTCTCAAAGGCAAAAACGTAATTCATTCCAATTTATCTCGTTTTATACATGTATTCCTAATATTTTTTAATATCAATGTATATATTAGTTTTTAAAACATTTTACATTATAATAAATTATTTTAACCTTGATTTTCACAATTGTCAAATATAAACTGTTTTTTGCACATTTTTTTTTCTTTTTATCAAAAGTATAAATTTATCAAGTTTAAATTTATAGCCTATAATTGTTTATTAGCCTGTAACCCAAATATAAAAGGCATGTTTATACCATAGAAATAATAGACATAATGTCTATTAGTTATTTCTTTGGTTTATACACATCAAGTTCTGGTTGAGGTCTCTGATACTCGAATCATACAGGCACAATGAGTTTTCGTGTCTACACTCTTTATTTTTTTAGAACTATCCAAGACATCCAAGCAACGCATGCAAATAGCACTTGACATTATAATAACCTAAAATCATCAAGACATTAGTAGAAATACTTTAAAATTACTGCACGATTCAGTTTCAGACTGTGGAGTCTTATTATAAATAGAACGATCAAACTCTGCAGTAAATTGTCTTTGTATATATATAAAAACTCTAGTTATACGCATCCCAAACAAGTTTTTAGTGTCAGTTAGTAATAGTTTTATATCCATCTGTTGTCTAAGGTACGAAATTTCACAAAACGCTATCGAAAAATGATCAAGAAATGAAAAGAACCTCACCTGACTTAAAGTTATAAACTGACCGTAAACGTATAAAATACGACCTAGAGGCATATACATCTAGGATTTAAGGGGCCCTCATATTATGAAACAACATCATATTACAATATTACTCACCACTAAAACCAAAACATGGATACGATTAGTATTCCTTCCACTCGTGAGCTCATACCATACTGGCAATATGATATGTCCAGGCCTTGTGACCCTGGATGGGCATTTAAAAGGAAGAAATACACACATACACAAAATTAAGATTTTATTCATTATCAGTCATTACATAATCACCATAAAGAGAAAAATGACCGCTACTGCGCATGACATCGTACGATGTTGTCAAGGTCAAAGCAGGTATTATAACAACAATAACACAATGGCCTTACTTAAATTTCTGGCAATGAGACAGTGGTGAGTAATATTGTAATATGATGTTGTTTCATAATATGAGGGCCCCTTAAATCCTAGATGTATATGCCTCTAGGTCGTATTTTATACGTTTACGGTCAGTTTATAACTTTAAGTTTTACTCTGAGGATGATAAATTAAAATTCACCTGACTTGTTGACAGTATAAGATCTCACTCCTTCGGAGGTCATTTATCCAAATTTTCGTTCATTTTAAACATATTCGTGTAATAATCTACTGTTCAACAGACGCAGCTTGACAAATTTTGTCCTCAAAATAAAGATCGGACAACAGATGTTTTTAAAATCGCTGTTTTATTGCGAAAATTCGGCATTTCGCCATTAACTTCAATACAAAAATTTAGTTCGGCGCTTACCAGACTCTCACGCATGCGCAGTGAAAAAGTGGGGACAAGATTTTCCGCGAGTCGGCCATCTTTATATACTTAGGGCCTGTTTATATGATCCTGGCCAGGCGGGACGAGATGCTAACCGAGATCCCGCTCGTAATACAAATTCTAAAGACTGTTTATATGATTCCGCCACTTATCCCGCTTAGACGGGATCTCGGCAACAGATACCGGGATCCCGCCTGAGCGAGATGAAAAATTCCCATATAAACACTTCATCCCGCCTAGCCGGGACGAGAAATTCCCATATAAACACTTCATCCCGGCTAGGCGGGATGAATTTTTCCCTTTTGAGCATGCGTAAATGTCTTTATTGCAACAAAAATATGACGTCAAGCACTTAAATGGCTTCATCCTGGCAATGTATTTTGTCCATATAAACACTAGGCGAGTATCCCGTCTAGGCGGGATGAAAACGTCCCGTCCCGTCTAGGCGGGTGTGACGAATTTAAATCCGCCTGTGTGGGTGTCGGCAAATATAACTTCATATACAAAAAAAAGTTTAAATATATTTTTCTATAATTTGTTTGATATATCACAGTGTAAATCCTATACTATTGTATTAACTGTCTCTCAAGCTACGATACTTGCGTCCTTTGGCGAGTTGTTCCTTCCCGTTGTTTCTTCAGCTAGTCCTGACAATCCCGATTTTTAGAGCGCTCGTTAAGTTTACCAGGGTTTTGATAACGGTCCCCGCTTTCAATTCCACTACACCGATCTCCAAATAACTTCGTCTTCACACGTTTACAGCTGAGTGTGTTGCTCAAGTCACTAAAGACTATACCAGAGCGTTTGATCATTGAAGACCCACGTAGTGTATTGCTCAAGTCACTGAAGACTATACCAGAGCATTTGATCATTGAAGATCCACCTTTCCCATATAATGTAAAGTGCGACGTTGATAACGTATATGTCTTTCGTTTTACTTTATCAAGTTATTTTATCAGTGTGTAGACCACTCCTTAATCGGTTCTACTTCAACACGAGTTCGTTCGTTCTGCTTCAGTGTCTCTCTGATTATCGCCTTTTATTCTCTCGCAGCTTGATTACATATTCTATACGCATATGATTTATTATTCTAATGGCTCCCAGGGCTACAGCGGGATCATATAAACAGGCCCTTAATCTTTGGTAGCAGGCGGTATTCGCGGGCACGAGAGAACGGGATATTGAAATACCGCTTGCCCAAAAACTACACATTCTGAGTTCTCCGGCAGCTGGGTGACAGGAGTAAAGAATTAGAATAATTAGTGCTAATTTTAGAAGTTAATGTTGCCGTATTAACTATTGTTATTTTCGTAGAAATTGATACCGATCTATCGAGTGATGGCATACACTATAAACGAAAAAATAAAGAATATATTAATTGAGAATTAAGCATTGAATTCTTTATCTGGAATCGGTAATCCCATCGTTTTGAAGAATGAACAGGGGAGGTTGGACAGCAGGCCGCAAAGCATCATGGGTATTGAGCGCCTAATTCCGCGCGTGACTTCATTGACTGTTGACTGTCGAGGAGTGAACATCTCTCTGACTAAACCAATATGGAAGCTTTCGAACGACAAAAGTGTCAGGCTGCGATACTTTGTGAAAAGAAACAGCATGTTATTGTTGCGATCATCATTATGACTTGTGTTTTACTATAGCAAGTTTACCTTTTTTAAATATTTGCATGGGACATGTTGTCATTTTAGCTTGATAAATAATGCGTCTGAGCGAAGGAATTGTGTTTATATTCCCAGTAGCGAGGCTCTTCTTTCTATTAAACTTGGATGACGTTAAATCTCCGTGTATCATCAACGTGAAACAAGCGCAATATTTAAGGTTGGTATACTACAATGCATTACAGTTACCTTGTTATTTAGTCAAATTATTATCCGCTTTGTTGTTTTTAACCTAGTACTGTAATTTTGACCCTATTGTGTGTGTCTGTGGACTGTGTCACTGTCATACATATGTAGGCTACATGCTTTGAGTTAAACAAATTGTTTAATAAATTTTTGCTGAAGTATGATGCCTGTTTGTATCTAGTTGTGGATAGATTTTTACATATATGTGCATACAATAGTGATATTTTTCAATTTTCATCTGTAAAATATTGCCATATTTGTGTGTTGTTCTATAAATATTACTGCAAATAGTGACACACTTTTGCATTAGATTTCTAATTTTAGAGATTACAGCTTATGTACAAAATAATAAAATAAAAATTTTCTTGTTATGATTTTGTAGAAAGAGATCTACTTGAGTGGTTGTCTGGTCTTGAACCTGGTCAGCATGGATATGGTAATGAAGGTGATAGGGCAGAAAGTGGTGACCAGTTAAGTGATGAGGATGAAAGTGACGAGGACGAAATCACCCATGCTGTACCATTCAAGTGCATCGGTGCTGCTCATGAGAAAAATTACCAACATCAACAGCATACCTTGCTCTTCATGGACAAGATAAACCAGTGAATGTAAGAATACGGCCAGAGCCATTGAATCCAATGGACCCAAGTGCAATTGCAATTGATGTACACTATGGAACTGGATGGACACACATTGGTTATCTTGCTTCTCAACTATGCGAGTATTTGCACCGACTAATTGCCACAGGAGATATCTTAGAGGTCTATGTTCAGCATATCAAGTATAGGGTTGACTTTTCTAAAATAGGATTTTATCAAAAAATTTTCATAAAGCGAGTGAGTGGGAGACTCAAGTGGTAAGGGAGAGCATAAATGTATGTTGACAGATGTTTGTGATATAATTGTAACTGACTAGGTTTAGCAAGTTATAGAAATGATCTTATTTCAATTAAGTAACTTTTTAGATTTTCATAAACAAAAACTAGGTTAATCATAAGTGGGTGTGCACAATTAAAATAAAAAAGTCTGTCAGGCACACTCATGCAATTAAGACAAGTACATAATTGTAACATGTGCTATATTAAATGAAGAAATAAATAGTTTGTACATTCACTTGACCAACTTTGTGAGTAATTTTTATTTTTCATTAAAATTAATAAATGCAACAATAAAACAAAAATATGTCTATTTATATACATATTGATCAAAGGTCTCACAATAACATGCTGCTGATACTTTGTGGTACATTACATGAGAATACAAAAAAACACTGCATATAATTGCACCTATCAATGTCAAGCCCCAGAGGGGGTGGGCATATGTAGGGTATTTGATCATCAATTGCATCCCCACTCTGGGGATTTTGATTAGCATTTTGGGCCTGAGTTAGGGCAATTTGAACCAAAATTACTTTTATTAATATAGTATTTATTGCAATTTATTGCAAAATGGTGGGGGTGTTTGACCAATACTTATTACCTAACAGTGGGGCATTTGACTGAAAATTTGCTCAAAAAATCAAATGCCCCACATATGCCCGACTCCACCCCCCTCTCTGGGGCTTATCATTGAAAGAACCACCATTTCTCTGAATTAGTTGTGTAACATCATTACAAAATACTGTTAAAGGGCATTCTATCCAATGACATCAAACCAACATCTCCATGGCGTTGTTCTCCAAAGCATCGAGAAGTGTGATAAATCAGATTGTCGTTTTGACCAGCATGAAGTACAGACATAGCCTTGGCAACAAGTGTGAGAAAATTTTGATGGACAAATTTAGCATCTAAACCAGGGTTAACATTTACCAGCCATTTTTGAAACAGGTGGATGAGTAGTTATTCTGGTTGTCGCTGGGTTAGTTTTGAAAATCCAGAAGTCATACCAATAACATAACCAGAAAGGTGAACAAGGTTTTGGTCACTCGATGGAGAGACAATCATAGCATCGGAGATCTTGCAGATGTAGAAGGTCTGTACAGATTGGAAGGACCGATTTTACCTCCAAATTTAATGATGATGCTTAATTTTTGCAGACCAAATCGTTGACAAAAATAGAATCCAGCCAAAATCACGAATCTCAAATCTAAAACATCAGCCAAACAATAAATTTCACTTGTAAAATATTGTTACGGAAGGACTTTAATTATTTGCACACTTTAACTGCAATATATACAATCCATAATATATCGAAACTTCTATAATATATCACACTTCTTTAGAAAAAAGCGAGTAATAGCAGTTCATTATCGATCTGAGTGACAAGGCAACATATTTTACAGAGGGCTATATTCAACGGTGAATATCTCGAAAACGGTTGCGGGACCGAGGGGGGCCGGCTGGATAGAATTAAAGATTATACTTTTGTTTACAAAGTGGCTATATCTACAAGTCCGTAAACAGACTTCGCCAGGCTATATTTACGGCACTCTATGTACCGAACCGGCACTATAAAGGCATGATTCCACGAGCGCTTTTCGTCGGCGAAATATTTCGCGTGTTTCTTTTGAATTGCGACCACTCGAATAAATTATTCCTACTTGATTGCTCACAATTCAAAAGAAACAGGCGAAATATTTCGCATTTTGCTGACAAAAAGCGCTCGTGGAATCAGGACTTAAAGCGTATTGTTTACAAAGGATTTCAGCGAGCTCGAAAATAGCTCAGAAGGTTAGGTAAATGGCTGCTGTGTTGTACTCCGCGGGTTCGAATCCGAGTTTGTGACGGTTTTTTGTTCGCCTTAACAAAACATGTTTAACTTTTTTTTTCTGACAAGTTTTAATTTTTTTAGGGGTTAGGTTTAGAGGTTAGGGTTATTTTTTGTTTTAATTTGATTTTAACGATAAATACAGGCCGTATGGAGACTAAGAACGAGAGTGCCGTAAAACTAATCGTGAAAAAATAGCGAAATCGAACCGTGGAAATTTGAGATTTTTGTCTTCAAAGATTGTTGACAGAAACGCCATTAAATTACATCGCGACGGTATAGTACCTAAAGTGAGAGGTCAAAATAAACTGGAAAATAACGCTTACCTTTCAAGATACCGTTCCAATGGGTAGATTCACTGTTGTAAATGTAGTATCGCGTGAAATTTCCAAAAAAATGTGTATAACAATATGAAAAAAGTCGATATTTATGAGCCCTATGTAAATTTTCGATGCCAAAAGCTTCATGCGAGCATTAGGAAAATGGCGCAATCTGATTGGTCGAGAGATTCGCCCAGATTCGCCTAATTAGCTGTCCAACCTCCTCTGAAGAATGAACAAAGAATATCAATCCAACATTTGTTGCTTGATAGAGATGTGATAGAAATGCAAATACCGTGATAGAAATGGAAATACCGTGATAAAAGATGCAGATTTGAAGATACAGGCTCGCAAATGACACTCTAAGTAGTGTTTTTTATAGCGATTGGAACAAGACTATAGTATTACAAAGAAAATACGTCTGAAGGGGCTGAAGTTATGTTTGGCGAAAGGTATGGCTAGTCTATATTTTTGTTCAGACAATTGCGAAATTTGATAATATACGAACTCGCTTGACTTTCAAAGCTCATAAATCGGTATAATGTTGACATCGACTATGAATGAGGACATATTGTTACACTGAATCGAACGTGGTATTTTTGTCTTCATAGGCTATAGCATTCAATGAACCGAAGATATGAAACGTCAAAGCTGTATATTTGCACTGGTGCAATACGTGAAAGAGTTTGACAAATATATTAAGATGGGCGGAACTGATTTGAACGACATTTAAATCATCAAGTGATAAAGCGGATGCTTTAAACAAATTATTTGCCTCTGTGTTTTTTCCTCGTCCCAAAAACCCATGTTTCCCTCCATCAAACACTGTCCCTATAACTCCAACTGAGTTTTCTGATGTTTCGATTGAAGAAGTTTGTCGTCTGCTAAATAATCTATCCACATCGAAAGCTACGGGTCCAGATGGGATATCGGCAAGATTATTAACGGAATATTCGGAAGTCCTTGCTCCATCTATTACTGCATTTAATAAATCTGGCATTGCTTTCGGCAATCTTTCTGCAGATTGGAAGTATGCAAACATCGTTCCCGTTCCCAAAAACAACAAAACTCACATTGTCAGTAATTACCGTCCAATTTCATTATTATCTCTCGTGTCGAAGCTTTTGAGCTTGTGGTCCATAAGTCCATAACCGAGTCTTATATATTGTCAAACGGCTTCTTCATGACCAACAACACGGCTTTCGACAGCTTCTTGACGTTGTTCACAACATTGGCAAGGCGTTAGATTGTGGTAAAGAAATGGATCTATTTAGACTTCTCCAAAGCTTTTGATTCGGTACCTCACGATAAACTTTTTTTTAAACTCTCCCAAGTTGGTATTACTGGACCGCTCTTAGACTGTTTTCTGACTATCTGTCTGGACGTAAACAGCGTGTGGTAGTTGACGGTTTCTCGTCAAGTTACCTTTGTTCAATACAACAGTAACTCCGAATAAAGTAAGCACTTTGATTCAACGTTTCGACTTTATTTAGCCATCATCAGGAATGGTTATATTACATGTGCATGCGTTATATATACTCTACGTAATTTGATATATAACTAAAAGAAAACCGATAGTTCTCTGGATGCTTTAGTCCCATGATTCAGTTCCGGTTTTTGTCGATGAATGGCGAGTGCTTCTTTGAACAGCAGATTTGACCAGTGCTTAGCCCTGTCTATAATGTTGCAGTTGTTCAGTAGGAAGGCTGTTAGGTTAAATTAGTCAGTGTTGGGTTCGTCTATGTTCAGTTGTAATAGATTTGTGAGATAGTTGAATTGTTCGCAAGTGTTAATGTGTTTATAAATCTCTGAGTTGTTGTCTGTGATTGCATGTTCGTTCAGTCTTGTGTAGAGGCATCTGTCTGTCTTTCCTATGTATGTTTTGCCGCACCCAGGACATGAAAATTTATAAACCACCGAACTTTGAAACTCCTCAAGCCTGCTTTCCACTAGGCGGAATTTTGCGCGCGGAGCGGAATCTTTCTTTGTCTTTTCTAATTAGTTCCACCCGAGAAATCAGAAGACAAAGAAAAATTCCGCTCCGCGCGCAAAATTCCGCCTAGTGGAAAACCGGCTTAAGGTGTTTTATCTTTGCACGAAACAAAGCAGCCTGTTGTGATGGTATATCCCAATAAGTTTTAGTATTCGTGAAATTTTTAGGAAATGTTTTAGGAAATCCGTTCCAAGACATAAATTTCCGAATTTTGCTAATTTCGTCCGAAATTAAACTTTCGTTACTACAAATTTTGTGAGCTCTATGCACAAGTGACCTAATCCACGCAATTTTGTACGACCACGGAGTGAAACTAGATAAATGGATATACTAGCCTGTGTGTGTGCTCTTACCGTTGTATTGTATTTTATGAAAATACTCGGTGGTTCCAGCAATTATTACCTTTGTTCCTCAAGGCAGTATTGTTGGCCCATTGCTTTTCCCGATCTACGTTAACAACCTTCCTGACGCAGCAAAACACAGCAAAGTATCAATGTTTGCCGACGACAGTAAATGCTATAAAATCACAAACAATCCACACGACTCTAATCTCCTCCAAACAGATCTTCAAGCTCTGTGTCTCTGGACTTCTACTTCGAAGTTAAAGTTCAACTTGGAGAAATGTTCTGGAATACGATTTTCGCGGAAACGTTGTATTGAGTCTCCCGATCTGACTCGTCCCCAGTCGTCTCTGTGTTTCAAGCGCGGGCGGAAGAAAAGGTATGCGCAAGGTTTTTTAAGCGCGGGCGGAAGCAGGCAAGATGGCGGGTGGAAGCAGGAAAAAGATGCAGGCGGTGCTCTGGTAGAGGCTGTTTTCTGCGGGGGTTTTTGTTTGTTTGTGTCCAAATTTAAAGTTTGATGTCAAGTTTGTAGTTTCTGTTCAATTTGTGAATAAAAATACAAGGTTACATAAATTAAAGCTGCGAGTTTGGGTTGCTCAAAAATATGGCTTTCAGGCCTGAGGAAGATAGCGATACAAATCACTTGGAAGATTTAAATACATCGATTCAGTCACTTCATATTGATGGTAAGTTTGCTGATTATGCCATTTTTTTATTATATTCAAGTAATTTGTTGTTTTATTCAATGTATTAATGTGATTTTATTTGTATAATTATTATCCTGTATTTATTTAATACCATTTGAAACAAATACATGTTGTTTTGACCAAATAATTTATTCAATTGTGTATTAAAGTTGTGTTCAATTTTTGTCTTGCCCAACCAAAATCTCATTGAAAAAGTCTATACTCACTAGTACAGTATATGCATACAGTCCATATATAAAATAAAATTAAATTAAATTAAATATACAAATGCTTAATAATTGTGTAGATGAAGAAGTCGATGACTCTGTTACTTTATGTCACTCTGGAAGATTTTTAACTAGTACGCCTAAGAAAGTCTGCAGGAAATTGTATGATGACTTAAGTTATGAGACTTCTCAGTGTTCAAATGTACAAAAAGATTGTGGTGATGGCAGACAGGGAACGAAACACAACCTGACACCAAACTCAAAGAGTTTGAATCAACCTAATGCTAAACGGTTTCTGGTTGGTATGTGAGCATAATTAAGGCTGTTTTCCACTAGACAGGATTTTGCATGTAGAACAGAATTTTTCTTTGGCTTTTTACAATCAGTTAACTGCCTGAGTTCACAAAGAAAAATTCTGCTCCTCTTACAAAATTCTGCCTAGTGGAAAAGTTTTAATAGATGTTTTGTGAAAAAGTAAACTGCCTGTTTATCTACTCAACTGTTTCAACTGTCTGTTTTATCTAATTTATGGTAATATGCTGGAGCACTGAAAAGCAAAATCCACACAAATATGAAAATTGATTTCTAAGTTAAAACACCATATCATGGGCATAAATGGACTGCTTTGGCAAGGGGGGTTGTATATATTTAAGGGGCTGTGTTTTTAGATGCAGGGAGGAAGCTATTGTCTAAAGAGATTTTCTGTGGAGTGCTTCGCTATTTAAAGGGGTATGCACCTCCACCTGATTGCCACCCCTAGACCCATGATCTCTTTGTCAGTGAATATAATTTTTTCTCTTTTTTAAGGTGGTAAACCATCTGGCAAGGAAGTAAATTACAGACGATCTATGTTAGAATCTAAGATCAATGCTGCCTTTGTTCAACAGGAAAACTGCGAAGTGGACAAAGCGGTTGTGTTATCTTATCTTGGGCTTAATGAGGATGAAAGCATCTTAGTTAGACGCACCATTAAGAGTATTTTCCCAATGGTTAGGACAAGACGTAACAGAGTGAATGGCATGTATCCTTTACTATGGTTTAAAATAATCCTAAATAATGTTATGCCCATTTGCAAGAGTATGTACAATCTATTACAAAGTCATATTTTGAACAAATAAAATGATATAACTTTGTAGCACCAGTATATGATAGTTGGATTAATATTAATCTTGTAAGCTGATAAGGAATTATCCAACATTTAAACAAAGAACATCAATTTTCCTGTTCTTAGATTGTTCTAAGAGTTGTGTAAAACATTCTATGAACCTTCTGGTACACAAACATTGCCAGACTGTACTCGTTATAAAAAATCATGCAAAAATTTGAAAGTATGAACAATTGTGAACAGTGCAGAATACATACATGTATTTTTACTTACTGTATGAACATATATGGCAAAATATAATTTAAAGAACAATTTAATAAATTTCTATGGGAGAAAATTGCCAATAGACACTTTCTGTAATGAGCTTGAGATTTCGAGTATTCAAAAGTAAATTTCTGTTGTCCCATTTACACGCAATGTAAATTGGGGCACTAACAAATTGAAGCAAGCCTTGTTGTACATTGCAATGTTACATCCTTAACTGTTCATAGTACTTTTTATGTCAACCTTAAAGGTAAAGCAGTGTTTTCATGTGTCAGTACTGAGAACCCATTGTTGCCAGGTTTGTTGTTAATCATGCAAATTTTTAATCGTTCATATAGACTTAATTAACCGTTGTTAATGTGACTTGGCAATGTGCCCAGATACACCCTACTTCAGTGTTTACTTTATCTGATGCCAGATGATTTCACTTGGTAGTAGTAGGGTACTGCCAGTAATGGGCAAAAATAAAAAAGTTGTCATGAGTGTGAGGATTTTCATTAAAGTTCAGTTCTCTGTATGGGGCACAAACTGCAGCATTATAATCTTGTAATTTGTATGCTGAGTGATTCGACTATACATACATTGCAGATGAGATGGTGAACATACAACAAGAACTTTTTGCATCAGAAGAAGTGATGAAGCAGATATTTGAACGTCTCTATATTGCTGCCGAAGGAGATATTAATGTTGGACAAATCCTTGCAGAATTCATGGCTGAGTCAAATAGAAGAGATCGACTGATGAATACATTGCTCGCATTTGAAAGGAAAGCTAATGATAGCACTAATCAATCAAATGTCCTTACACATCAGCAGAAGGAAACAGTTATCAATGAAATGAAAGTGCTAGAGCAAATTTGTGATATTGGCTTGCGCAGTAAGAACACAGAAGATGTTGACATAAACCCATCATTGTTTAAGGATTTTTCAGATACAGTTAAGACCAAATGCTCTTTGTTGACGAGCATCATCGAAGCTTTGGTGATTGGTTCCAACACGTGTGACAGAAATACCAAGAAGACAGTTGAGAAAAAGGTTTTATGTGGATATCATGCATTAGCTCTTCTTCTTAATGTAAGGAACTCAAAGTGCTTCAACGATTTTCCTCTATTGTTTGGTCTGTTGTGTTTTTCCTATGGTGCAGGAAAGCAGTTTATTAATATGTTGAAGGCTGTTGGTATTTCTCTGCATTTTGACACAATGTGAGTAATTTGGAAATTTTTTAAATAATGAAACTGCATGGTTGAATTATGTAAATTATAGGTGTGAGGGATTGACTTTTAATGTCTTAAGAGCAGGGGTGGATTCAGCCAGACCTGACAGGGGGTCGGTCATAAAATAGACTGCTAATTGGGGGCTGGTCGTAAAAATTTAGGATATACTTG